TTGCCATTCTTGGGACAGATTACTGATGCAGGCTTTTTGACTTAGTTTTCCAACGATTTCTTGAACATAAGAAGTCCTACTGCTTCTTGTATAAAGACATCGAAGGGGCTACAGCAAAATTTGCATACCCATGGAGAAGATGGCCGGCCACATCTCTTGTAGGCTACTAGCAACAAATCAGTGCAAACTTTGTGAAACCATTGACTGCAGTTGTCACGCTGCATCCCGTCATCTACCGGTAAGTAGCAGTCCGGTCGTCCACGGTTGTTAGTCAGGATCACAACTCAATAATTTGTTTAAACTACACAAATATATACATATGTAAAACAGTGAAGTAAAAACCAAACAAAAACACAAAGCGTAAAATAAAATGAATAACACTTCCCTAAATAAATCAGTTAAAGTGAACTGAAAAGCTTCTGATGTGATTTAAACAACAAAAAGTAGTAGTTACTTCACAGAGTAAAGAGTGCTACTCTCCTTTTTCAAACCGTGCGCCTTATTTGAATGATACTAGGCCGAAAGGTGCGGCAGAGTGTAGAGGCAGGAATCAGCGGACTGCTGCAGATTTCAGGTGTTATCGTGTTGTTGTGTGTAAGCTATTCTACGTTGTTTTTAGTAGTTTCGACAGAAATACGTTTTAATATAGCGTATTTTAACGAAATAACGTGTAAAAAAGAGAAAATGGTCGCTTTCCGTGAGTTAACAAAATGCTGCCTTCTCACTAAATTGACTCGTTGAGGTGCTTACGAAATGTCAGAATTCGTTGTAAAATGTCACTAATGATAGAAAACCCTACATAGATAGGAATCAGTATGTACCTTAATATATTATCTTTACTAACCAAGCTTACTAATAAATAAATAAAATAAGTAATAAATAAATTTATTCTCATAGTACAGTATATGAGGGACGCCAGTTTACAGGCATCACCGAACTGTCACAGAAATGGAACCATATTATTCAGTCACAATTTACAGACGGTAGCAAGATGTGTTTTACATGTACACTGGAGATTATACATACACTTGATAAATGTTAATCGCAGTGGTATAAAACACCCTTTTCACTTATGTACAATCATTTCTGTGCACAGTTGGAAAAATCCGATAGATTGTCAGTGAGTGCAACACATCAGGAAATACAGAGGTATTGCCTTTGCATTTACAAAGAAACCAGGTCTTTGGTGGATGGGTTATAAGTGCCTGGGAAAAAATAAAGCTTGAAGTCAATTTTCATACGTAACTTTGTTGTGTGCACAGTCCTTAAATTATAGTTCATTGATGTGTTATTTTGAAACCAGTGATATGTTTATCTCATTTGATCTACAATGTCATTGTTGGGAGTAAAATACATAAGCTTTAGACGCATTAGTTAATGGATTTCTACTGCTTGTGGGTATTTGCTTCTCGTGAGGAAGGCTTTTGAATTTTAGTTGTTCCGACAGGAGTTGTGGATACTAACTGCTCAGCAACATTACGGATATAAGTTCATCACATTATCTTAGGAAAGTTGGGTTGTAGTTGGTGAGGCATATATGATGCCCGACAAGCGTACATCTGTCCATGCGATGCTGTGGTAAGTTATATCTTTTTCATGTTGCCGGTTTATGTCCATTTTATTCCACTTATTGTGTTGGGTAGAAGTTTTACAAACGAAATTTCTTGTCTGTCTGAGGGTAAGTATCTTAACCGTTAATGTTTTATCCAAAATTATAAATATAGGCAAAAAACAACAGGTGTAGTATTTAAGCTTATACATTAAATGGACCTATAATTTCGGAGGCTCTCAGATAGGAACCAGGACTACTATCGTTTGCAAACTCTTGTAGTTTGTCGTTAAGCACTCTTTTGAATGAGGCCAATGTACCTGCTTTCCGCATTTCCATTGGTAGTTTATTCACTATCTGTGCATACCTAATCAAGTAAAACTTTTGCCTGGTAGCTGTTTTACATTGTTCGATAGCTACTGTACCCTTAGTGTGTCTTAGTTTGTAGCCACTGTCATCTGAAAGTCGAATGCCATTAGTAGAGGTAAAAACTAAGTGGTTTAGAAGCTTATAGTAAAGTGTTAAGTTTAGTCTCAGGCGTCTTAGCCATAGTGTTTCTAATCCTAGGGTGTCACATCTAGTGGAGTAGTTCGCACCATTTTCGGTTCCGAGTAATTTTGACGTGAAGTACCTCTGCACTCCCTCGACTTTCAGTTTGTCCTCTATGCGTATACTGCTATACATGAATGAACAGTAATCAAATAAAGGATGCACACAAACCTTGTACAACAGAATTCTGGACTCATTTCTGTAAAAGTTCCTGAGTAGAAAGCCGATAAGTCTGAGTGACTTTGACACTTGTTTGGAGATATGTTCAGAAAATGATAAGTCATGTGAGTATTTCAGTCCTATGTCCAATACAGATTCCAGTCGTGGAAGTGCGTGACTTTGAATTGTCAGGTCAAGTTCCAAATTGTTGCAACCTATGCAGAGCCAGCCACATTTGTCGACATTAAACTGGAGTTGCCAGGTGTAACACCATCTATCCATTTTTTCTAATTCTTGTTTTATGGCGTTCACAGTTATTCCAAGATCTGCGTTTTTGCATTTATAGGTCACTTTTAAGTCATCTGCGTATAGTACTGGTTTGCCTACCCCAGAACACTCACATATACTGTTTATGTATACATATATTATGAATAGGAGTGGGCCTAGTACACTTCCCTGGATTACACCACTACTTACTGATATAAGCCTTGAGATTATCGAGCCAACTTTTGTTGTCTGACTTCGGCCACAGAGAGGTGATTTTGTCCAGCTCAGGAAAGGGTCACGTATCCCTAGTGAGCATAACCTGCTGACTAGCAGATTATGGGTCTCTGTCGAAGGCTTTTGTTATATCGAAATATAGCACAATTACTAGTTCTCTGTTGTCCCTGCTTCGTGTAACCTCGTTGAAAAAGTCTATGTGACAGGTCACACATGATCTCTTTTTGAGGAATCCGTGTTGTGATGGATTGATAAGTTCATGTTCTGGTAAGTTGTCTGACACTTGGTCTTTAACAACTTTCTTCATTATTCGTGATATTACCGGTGTTATATTAATAGGTCTATAGTTGCATGCACTGGCTTTGGCCCCTGCTTTGTGCTTGGGTAATATGTATGTAGTTTTCCATACTTCAGGATAAGTTCTAGTATGTGCAATTTACCGAACTGATGATGCCTGTAACCTGGCGTCCCTCAAGTACATAAATGAGAATATATTATTATTAATTGTGATTTCATGATCTTTGCAAAGCTTCACAATGGGAATGAAAAATGATTTGGTTATTTGGTCAGATAACGGTGAAGAGAAAGTCATTTGATTGGTATGTACTGTTTCAAGTTTTTATTTAATTCACCATTTCCTGAATGAAATAGTGTCATTTTTAATTTCCAGATTATGATCTTCACCTCCGCAACCTCTCAGTATATTTATACATTCAAATAGGATTAATATTTTTTTAATACAGCCTGACTCCACACCGTATTTTTGATACAGGTATGGAATTTTCACCATATGATATCGGTAGCCCAAATTTTGCAGGCCGACCATACAAATCAGGTGTGCGTCGGTAGAGGATCGAACCCCGGACCATTTGTATGGTTGGTGAGAGTCCCAATCGCTGTGCCACCGACGTATTAAAAAGGATAATACGTGTGAGAATGATGAAATATCCGTGATGTTTTGAAAATATTTACTGAAATAAATATTTTTTAATATTTCGCACTCAATTCGTATATTCTTAATACTTACTGTTTTTCGAGTTGTAAAGTGATGCCAGTGTAGAAGACGTAATATTCGTAAAATGTCATATCGGTACGTGATTGAACATGGGCATGATGGGGTAATATCATTGCTTTTGAGTAATTGCTTCTGCTATTAAACCGTAAACAGGAGATGTGGGCAATATCTTATATTGATTTTTATTCGAATGTCTAATCAATTTCGCTCATTTATGTAAATGAAGTAAAAAATTGCGTGAGTGACTTGATTTGCTTATGAGCGATAGTCTGTGCTCGAAACATCGTCACTTAATATTACTGTATAACTGTATAATGTCAATCTTTGCATGTACATTCCTTCGAATACCTTCTGAGGATGATTACATACCAGCTGAATTGATCTTATCTCTGCGGAACAATTACACATCTTAGGCACAGCGAATATGTGAATACACGGAGGGACAACCACAGAGTTGGCGAAATTCTGTGGATTAGTCATCCATATATTCCACGATAGATTTGAAGAATTGTAGAACTTCCAAAACATCTGTCAAACCTTTTCTTCTGTAAAAAAGAAATATTACACAAGTGACTATCTTATTCAGCCGTTACAACTAATCGAAAGTGATCACATCTTCAGACGTTATACTCCTTTGATTAAGTTACCCAGTGACATTCTTCTTGTAATTGGATCCAACGCTTATCACTTCTGTGCAATTTATCTACATATTAACTTGTTCCCTTAGGCTAAAAATATGTCTATCTGATTAGATTATTGCTATTTCAAAGCCCGCCTCAGTAACGTACAACACGTATTAGCCACAACGTTTACGCAAAGAAAAATCTACCAATCACAAAGTGCTCAGGTGACCTTTAAGTGCACAGCCTCTTCGTAAGCCATTTGTGACGCCATCCTCTATCGAAAGGTGCAGCCTCTACATAAGGTAGACTATTCATGTAGATGCCATCACTCTCCAACTATCCTATCTTGCTCATTATAGGTATATTTTGACACAGTCCGCCTGAAACAGTAATCATTGCAACCAACATGCTAAGAATGTGTCGCAATCAAATGACATGATATGGACGTGACTTGTCAGAAAATGAGAATTTCTATCAATCCAGAAAACATACAACACAATTTTATTAAAAATTACTCTCAAAATAGTTTCCAAGTAAAATTTCAACCAACATGCCGGATAAATTCAGCCAATTGATTTAGTGTATTGGAAAGATTTGTAATAAGACGCGGGCGTTTCATTGGTGAAGTTACAGACTGCACGACTCCATACGTTTGCTCTCTGTTGTTGAAGTATGTGTTTTTATTTTACGATTTTTAATCAAAACCAAAAATTTTTTCAAAGGACCATTTTTATTCATAAAATGAAGTAGCCTATCACCTTATTTCGTTAAATGTTGGTATTGGATTCATGTGGCAGATCGTGTCAAAAGACAGGCTGCGGCACTAGAATTAAGTGAGCGACGCCGGAACGGTGAGAAGAACCTTAAGATTAAGGGTTTTCGGGTTGTCCGAGTTCGCAGTTTAATGATCCCGAAACCTCTGTGGGTGGGCCGGGGAAGCACCAATCTGAATTAACAGTCTGCTACACAAACGCCCGCAGCCTGTTAAATAAAAGGACTGAGCTGGCAAACATGATAGAAACCGGAAACCCGGATGTAATTATTATCACAGAGACATGGCTCACACCCGATGTCACTGACAACGAAGTTAACCTGCCAAACTTCGAAGTGCACAGGGTAGACCGACTAAACCGCAAAGGAGGGGGCGTAGTCATCTACCTCAAGAAAGGCTTAACCGTGCGTAGTATCGAAGCACTCGCCCACGAAAGTGAGTCGTGCGAACTTCTACGCTGCAGACTTAAATGCATAGGCCAAGACATTGACCTCATTGCTGTGTACCGCAGTCCTGACTGCAGTGCAGACGACTTCCTAATAGAGAAGCTAGGCTCCTGGACTTCAAAATGTCGAAGTCTCGTAGTCGGTGACTTCAACGCCCCAACAGTTGACTGGTCGAGCCTAACAACTCCATCTTCAGTCAACTCCTTTGACCATAAACTGCTAGAATCTAGTATATCGCTAGCCCTAGTCCAACATATCATTAAGCCCACGCGCTATGACTCACAGCACTCCTCATCAACTCTGGACCTAGTGTTCTCACACGGTGAGGATGTGGATCTCATACAACATCTTCCTCCGTTAGGAAGAAGTGACCATGCTGTGCTCACTTTCAAGTTCACAGCAACGGCAGCAAGGGCCAAAACCCCAGCTCGACCAAACGTTTGGAAAGCTGACATAAATGCGATCGTCTCAGCAGCCAACTCAGTAAACTGGTACATCAATCCAGAGTCCCAAGTAGAAGCCGCATGGAACCAATTTAAGCAACTTTACGCCCAAGTAACTGTACCCTTCATCCCTTGGTCTGTTCCAAAGGGTCGGAAACATTCCCCCCCTTGGATAAACCGGGAGATTCGTAAGTTACTCAGACGTAAACGCAAATGTTGGAACCTGTTTGCAACACTTGAGACTTCTGAGACCAGGGAATTATATACTACTGCTAGAAATAAAGCTATCGCAGAAATCCGCCAATCAAGGATGAAGTTCGAGACACACCTGGCCCAAAATGCAAAGGCACAACCTAAGAAAATTTTCTCGTACTTGAATTTCAGGAATAAAACACCCAATGGTGTCCCAAACCTGATTATTGACAAAGATACAATCGAAGAAGATCAAGAAAAAGCAGAAGCAATGGCAAACTACTTCTCCCAAGTCTTCACTCAGGAGTCATCACTGCCTATAGGATCAGCTCTGGCTGCATCAGAAGAACATGGGATAGATTCCGTTGACATCGACCAAGGCATCGTGCTCAACTTCTTAATGAAACTAGATGCAGGAAAATCAATGGGTCCTGACAGTCTTCATCCAAGGCTTCTCAAGGAGCTATCAGCCCACATAGCCGGCCCCTTGACCACGATCTTCAAGCTATCTCTCCAAAATGGAGTGTTGCCACGTGATTGGAAAGACGCCATAGTAACCCCCATACACAAAGGAGGATCAAGACAAAGCCCTTCAAATTACAGGCCTATCAGTCTCACCAGCACTTTAATCAAGACACTGGAAAGAATTATCAAGAAAAGCATCATGGCTTATCTGGAAAATAGCAGCTTGTTATCTGGAGCACAGCATGGCTTCCGGAGGAACCTCTCATGCCTGTCAAATCTCCTGACTGCAAGAGAAAGCTGGGTTAAATCAAAGGATGACAGAAGACCCGTTGACGTCGTCTTCATAGACTTCAGTAAAGCCTTTGATAAAGTACCTCACAAAAGACTACTCATGAAATTGGAAAGTCTTGGTATCAAAGGCAGACTACTAGACTGGCTCAGGGAATTCCTCATAGATAGGAGGCAGAGGGTTAGGATCAACTCAAAACTCTCCTCCTGGACAGCAGTAAGTAGCGGAGTGCCACAAGGCACGGTTCTCGGTCCTCTCCTTTTTATTCTGTATATCAATGAGTTACCTCTGCTGACCGACTCCCCTATGGTCCTATACGCAGATGACTTAAAAATTTGGAGGGAGCTGAAGGGCAACAGTGATACGTCCACCTTGCAAGACGACCTCAACAAACTGTCGGAGTGGTCTGTTGAATGGATGCTCCCGATCAACGTGGCAAAATGTGCAACCATGCGCATTGGACAAGCAAGCACGAGCTCCTACGAACTAGAGGGAATAACACTTCCATCAGTTCAGACTCACTTGGACTTAGGTGTCATAGTTAGCCACGACTTAAAAACTACAGCACACTGTCGCGCGGTGGCTGCACGTAGTTTCAGGTCCTTATGGGCGATTCGCAGAGCCTTTACAAGAATTACCAGAGATATGTTCACCTCCTTATACACATCTCTGGTTAGGTCAAGACTGGAAAACTGCATCCAGGCCGCCAGTCCGTGTCTAAAAGGGGATTCACACATTCTAGAAAGTGTTCAAAGGAAGGCAACACGTATGGTTCACGGCATAGCTAACTTATCATATGAGGAAAGACTAGATAGTTTAAATCTCTTCTCACTGTCATACCGTAGGCAGAGAGGAGATTTAATCACAATGTTTAAAATTTTAAATAATGACTACGGACCTGACCTATTCTCTCTTTTCCTTCCCACCAGGTCGGAACACCTTAGAGGACATAGCAGGAGAGTTCAAAAGCCAAGGAGAAATCATATTGCTGTTGAGTACTGGTTCTCACATCGAGTCATAAACTCTTGGAACCGACTCCCAGAAGAAGTGGTGTCTGCAACCTCAATTGATTCGTTCAAGAAGGGTTTGGACAACCACAGAAATCTACTAGAAAAGGATTAACATAGGCTGCAAGCCTTCTATCCTCAACCAATAAATCTGAATGTGGACTGTAAAAAATGTAAACCTAACACGTTTTGAATGCAGAAGTTATTGTGCATTCTGTGTGATAAGTGCACTATAGCTATCAGTCTTCAAGCATCACTTCACTGGATAATTATAGGCGTAACATCTGCTTCACATCCCTTTATAAAGATATATATATATTTCACACTGTTGTACAGTAATATTAATATTACTGTACAACACTGTGATTTATCAAAATAAAACCATTTCCATAATGGAGTTATGCTCTATCACAGTGCCAGAGTTATATACTTATATAAATTACCGATTTAAGTATAAAACTTGGGCACCGTGGTAGAGTATAACTCTATTATGGATAAGATTTTATTTTGATATATCACACAGTGTTGTACAGTTATATTAACTGATGACGTTTCAAGTACAAACTATTGCTCATAATCATATCAAGTTACTCACACAACTTTGTTCTTTCACTTATATACATGTGTGGAATCGATTAGATATTTGATTAAAAATCAATGTGAGATAATGTACATTCAGAAATAATAGTACGAGTGTCATCGTACTTTTTCCCATCTATCTGGAATTGATCAACAACACTCGTACTATTATTTCTGAATGTACATTATCTCACATTGATTTTTAATCAAATATCTAATCGATTTCACACATGTATATAAGTGGAAGAACAAAGTTGCGTGAGTAACTTGATATGATTATGAGCAGTAGTTTGTACTCGAAACTTCATCAGTTCATATAACTGTACAACACTGTGTGAAATATCAAAATAAAATCTTATCCATAATGGAGTCATATAAATTACCACTTGCTTATGTCCTGGGAACCATATTTTGAAGCTCTCCAAGAATTAGGCGATCATATGGTGCCTTGGCATATAGCAGTACCTAATTACTGATACTTTACCTCGTTGCATCGCGTTATTTCGTTTGTAAAAAATTTTAGGAGTAAATTATTTCCTAGTAGTCATTTCACTTCAGGATGCTTTTTAAGTCAGTCTTACCACACCTGAAGTGAGTACACTTGCGAGTTTGAAGTGTTTACTGAATTTTAGTAGTGCGTTTTGTGTTCTTTTAGTACACATTCGGACTGATATACTATAAATTCTCATCATATGGAGTTCTGCTCATCGAATAATATATTTTCTTGAGAAACACTAACACGTGTTGCTACCATTACCATCCTGATTGTCATCATAGTGCGGCTCTTATCATTTTTATTTCACACAATCGTTTTTTCTCTCGGATTTTTGGAAATCCTCCGAGCGGTATTTACAAACAAATGAGGGAAATAAAAATATACATATTTCCCACTACGCAATCAGTGTTACCAGTTAGCAAAGGCAAAATAGATCTATGATGAGATTTCTTTAGTGTACGATGTGTATGAAATGATGCAGCTTTCTAAATCGGAGGGATAAAAGTAATAGACTACTCACGGTGTTCGAAAGACTGCTTTTTATTCACATCTTTACTCGGTAGTATTCTGTGTTTCGCACACTATAACTTATCTGCCTACTTTCGTAGTAATAAGTCAATGTTCATGAAGTCGAGATTATATAGATCACTTGTATCTATACATTTATAGGGAAGTTGGATAAGAATAGTGACATTGTATCATTGGCGAGTACCACTGATCATCGTCACTTCAGGCAACAATCCTAAGTAAGACTTTAAACTAATGCATGAGTATGAGTAAAGTGTATTGGCAAGGATAACATACTTTTTAAAATCTTCCTTAACACAATGGCATTTTGACATCTCTAAACTGACGGAACTGAACGCTTTTATGAGGTCAAGTAATATGAAATATTTAGATGTCAGAAAGCTCATGTTCGAGGTCCTGATCAATGCAGTAGCCTGAAACTTTCTTTCACTGCAGGATTTTACATAATATAAC